TTGATATATGAAGATGGTTAGTTAATTCAATATAATGCATTAATGGAGAAATTTGTGATAGAGTGTTCCTTTAGAGAATATAATACTGTGTGTAGAGCCATCCCTCTTGCACTAAAACAGTTAATACAAACTACTCACACTACTAATATATTCTGATTTAAAGAACTATTTAGATCAGGGTCAGATGCACCATTCCCTAAATAATTAAAATGTGGAGACCAAATATACCACCATAATGAATATTTGTCATAACATCTTTATGTTCTATGGGTTTAATGAATTTGCAGACAATGTAGTTATCTGTAACTGTCATATAACTGTATTTTCATTGTCTTAGAGGAGAGTGCCATTGAATGTTTAACTAATATGAAGTGGGTTTTCATTAAAAAAAAAACTAACTAAAATCAGAACTGAAAACAAACTCTGGATGAAAAACAAACAAACAAACAAACAAAAAAACCTCCCACCCATACAGAAGTCACATAGATTGAAATATATTAATAATAAATACATTTTCATATATTTAAATATCTTAAACTTAAATAGAAGAATATATATTTTATACAATATATGTAAATATATTTTGAAATATGTTTAAAAAATATATTTAAATATTTGATTTTGGCCGCTTTTTAATATTTTTCACATATATTAAACATATGTAAATATATTTTTATCGGAAATATTTACATATATTTGTTTCCTTTATATGTAAATACATTTAGATATCAGACTATATAAATATATTAATTTGCAATATATGTCCATATATTAATTTCTAATATTTGTTAACACATTACATTTATGAATATATAAATATATTAGTTCCCCTTCAGGAACTCGAGCTGCGTCGAGAATCGCTTTGGGAACGCCCCTGCGTGACCGTGTTCTGAAGCACGTGTACAATCAGCCCAATGGAGCAGCGAGACGTCACGAGCGGGGTGACGTAAGCACCAGAAAGTATAAAAGCGCATCCGGCAGAGCGCAAGTCAGCTTCTGCTCTTCAGTAGCGCTCTGTGTATGTGTCAGTCCTATTTATTGTTGTCTGTCAGCACAAGCATTCATATCATGTCAAAAAAAGCAAAGTCAAAGTCTATGGCGAGCGAACGGCATTACAAACGTTGTGTTCCTCCCTGCCCACGATATCTGGCGGCGGGGGATACACACGATCTGTGTGTTGTTTGTTTAGGAGCGGAGCATGCACGGACAGCTCTCGAGGGAGCTGATTTTCATGACTGCGAGTTGCTCTCACTGCGCGTGCTTCGCTCTCGCCTGCCCGTGTTTGATGAGAGCGGCCAGGCTCCCGATCCCGCTGGCAGCGGTCCCGTGGGGATCGCAAGTGGATTTAGCGGAGGGATCCGAGACGGGCTCGTCCTTTTCTCGGTCCTCACCCGCTAGATCCGCGGCTC